TATGTTCCACTAGGAACACAAGGGAAAAATAATAATGATTTCAAGAAGTTGTCTTGTGAATATGTTTCTACCAATTCCCTACAAGTGCCGATCATGCATGTGACTAGCCTTGACCAGTCCTCTATACTCAATTCACCTATACAATAAGTCACGGTAATTCAACCGAATCCACCTACAGCAGAACACAAATTTTACTGCCTATTATCCGTATACATTTAAGTCAGTGTACGCTAAGCGATTTTACTCAACATGCAGTTATTTGTCAAAATTGAAGTCATACATATATGGATGGTATTTTCTTGTTCTTCTTTCAAAACTTCTATGTCATAAGACTTAAGTAAATTTTCGTCTACGTGGACAATGAAGCTCATGGCGTTAAAATATGGTCGCAACGATGTTTCCCTATCAACTTCAAGTATCACATAATCACATCATGTTCAGTTAATACAAGTAACTGGTTCATAGTCTCTTCAATGATGTGAACTGTATTAATGAACGTGATCATGCTGGATACCGAGTGTAATTCATCACCTTAAGGGTAAGAATGAGAAATTATGCCAGTAGACTATTCCCCTTCTTTACGTTTTCTCTAAATGCCACCATACACAATCAGTTAGACTTCTAAATGCATTTAATTAACTTTAAATCTCTATCTACCATCAGTTGACATCAGTTGGGGAATCGTCGAAAACCTGGGGGCACTAGACAGCTATTCCTTTGTGGTATGGGACTACCCAACTGTCGACACCCATGACCCCATCAGGAGTTGAACCCAAAGCCATATAGTATCATAGTAAGCATAATATCAATGAGCCGGCCAATGAAAAAGAACTAGATAGTCACTTCGTGATATTTATCGTCAGGTCAGACTGGTTTAACCCCGCTGGTCAAGGCTCCTCAATAGAACTTCAGAAAGTCACATCTGTGAGTAGTATTCCTGATGGACTGACATAAGTTGACGAAGAACTCGTTATATTCTCAAATGAAACCACTTTATAATGAGGCTAATGTTTGGAACAAATAATTTTGAAAGACTTTGAATTGATGAGAACTCTAAAAATATACATTAAAATTCTCCTTTTCAACGTCTATGTTTCTTGTCAAGATACTTCAGTACTGATAAAATGGAGATACTTTTAAACGCGTTGATTTGAAATTTGAACATGTTCAACATACATGTCTCAAAATTAGTATATACCAACTATCTGCTTAAGGATAGGTAGTAAATTCACGGAATACGCTGACCACCTCTCTTACTTTGGGAGTTGTATCAGTTAAAGTAGGTTAGTTACTGATGCAATCTCATCTCATGTGCAAGAAGCCTGTTTTACACTTATGAAGTTAAGCAATGTATCACGCTGGTTAGACATACACCTACCGATCAAGGAAAGAGTAAGCTGCGCTATAGTCCATTCTATCCTTTTATACAACTGAGATACTATTGTCAACTGTGCGGTAGAATCACCATATGGGAGATCTGGAGTATAGATTGTCAGACAAAGAATAATCATAGCAATCGCTTCATTTCATGGAAAACCTATTTCTTTAAAACAGTATAGAATTCTCAACAAGTTCACTACCAGAACAACATATTCAAACGAAATGATTACTACATGCAAGTGTTGTTCATAAAAGCGCTACTGAAGGTAATCATTTTGGATTACCTTCTGATCTAGAATAAAGTATGGACAGAAAATCGAACGTAAGTTTGATGATAACTGTTCAAGAGTACATGAAACCTTTGGAAGACATAGTTAAACGATTAAAACAAACTGAAAGCAAACAATCTGACGTATACGTTGGGTGGGAAATTTCTACAGGCCAAAGTTTTAAGCAAACAGCCGGGAGAAAAATTAGTCAATCAGAAGGTAAGCCTTCACTGACTGTGCTGGCTTGGAGATATGTTGCGCATGTTAGCTAAAATATGATTCATTTAGAAGAAGGCTAAAGGTATTAAAGTGAAGTGACACAAGTCAAAAGACTCCCTGACTATTGGTCCAAGTTGTGTGAACCATCCTGTTAGGATACTGGACACTGAAGGTATGAATGTTTGCAGATGGATAGGGATATGTTTGAGAATCAGTCATAACTGCACAGATGTATACACTTTCTATCATCCTCGAAGTCTTGACATACTGTGGTTAGCTTTTACGCCACTCGTTTCCCACCCATTTGTTCTTCGCTTGCAGTTGTGAATAGTGGCAACTTTAAATGTGAAGCAATTATGTACCAGTAAAAAACTTCAATATGTCTGTCTGCCTGTCTCTTGTGCTTTTGAAAAGTTCCGTTTACGAAGAAGGCAGCCGGAGAACCACACATCCTCTTAATGTCAAATACAGTCCAGTTTAAAACTACTGAAGTACCAGTTTCCCAAAATTTTACAAGGTTAGTTTATCCAATGGAAAGTTGTAACCAGTGAGGGGGGGGGGGCAAAACAAATGGAACGTGAGCACAGGTACGGAGCCACATCGTTGGATGGAAGTCGCACTATATCGCAAATTGGCAGAGATTGGAAAATATGGAGCTCAATGGTGACGTACTTACCATGGAACCTGAAAGTCACACTTAGATGCCGAGTGGGGTCACGGATAAACACTGATGATAAAAGCCATACTGCTCACGGATTTTCAGTGGTTCATTCTGTGATGAAAACCATCTTGGAATTTTAATTTGTTGTCAATTTTCTTAGCAGTAGATAAATTCATTGAAGAACGTTCGTCTTCTTTAGTAATCTCAACTGTAGGTGCATTGGGACAGGGGATTAGCCGGCGTGCTCAACAATCATATCAAACTGTAGCATAAGGGGTGGTTCATAACATCTTTTTGGGCAAAAGAGGAGAAAGGCTCAATTGAGAAGGTCAACTTCAGCATTCTGATATGATATCATACGAACACCAATTGTCAAGCAATGCAAAATGAAACACTTTCTAACCAACTGTTTCTAGTCCTAGAGTATTTCGGCCGAGTGACCTTCAAACAACTTGTTCTAGAGCTTATGAACCGCCAGTCATAAGTGATTGAAGTTTTTATGACTTTCTCTGCTGATATACATTCTAGAGCGTGAAGACACGCAATGCACCGTCCAAAAAACACTGTCTCCCTTTAACCTCTCAGTGTATTTGGTTTCAAAGTTCAAGTTAAAGGACCAATAAACTTCACCTGTAGAACGCTCAATGGGCTACAATCCTGAAAAGAGTGAGTTCAGTTACAGAAGCCTTTTCCCCAGTCACAAAGATTAGTCTATGGAGGATAATGAGTTTAGTGTTGTTCAGTCCTAGATGCTAACCGAATTTTACTGGTGGTTTTAGAATGTGGCCACCAGTTCACGTGACTCAGCATCACGATGCACTGCCAGAAACGTTAATTGTATCGAGGCAAATGCAAATCCATATACTTAATCCACTCCAACAGGAGTCCAGTCGCGACCGGAATAGCTGAGTGGTGACGCCTCAGACTGCCTAACTGAGCGATGCAGATTCGAATCTCCGGCGGGACATCAGTTCCACTGAGGTTGTAGATAGGCCTTGGTGTAGAGTGCCAAAATGCAGGAATCCTAGGTGAGACAGGGATTTCTGCCGACTGCCTTCATCCAGCGTAGATGCATTTACACCCCCACCCTCACCCCAGGAAACCTAATACATAACAAGTACCTAGTAGATCTTATTTCCTAGGATCGTTAGGTAAGGTGCTGCGAATGACTTACTCCTATGATGATCATATCTTCAGCACAACACGCCTGAGGTCTGAATTTCAGATATTCAACAAGTTAGTCAGAAGAAATGGATAGTGAAGAAGGAGTATTTGAGTACCTTACATTCAGTTGAAAGCTGGGCAAATCATTCATCTACTGATTTTAATTAGCTGAGATGATTATGCATTCCTGTACAGCGTTAGACAAATGTACTGACCATTGGTTATTCCCTCTTCCTCAAGAGTTTAGAAAACCGGCTTCGAATTCGCGGTGGAATGAGTCGACTATTTCACTTACCTCAGGAGTTGCATCAGTTCAAACGAATATAGAAGGTCTGTTTAGCACTTTCCAACCTGCGGCATCTGCAGGGCTGACTGACGAGATATCGGACTATCTATCAAAGACTAAGTATACTCCACCACCGCTGAAAGTAGACTATCCAGGCTGAAGATCGATTTATCGAGAATGGTGCGACTCTATGTGATCCAGAGGGACAAGCATTGTTGAAAGCTGCCATATAAATGATACCACCAGTGTCAAACACCTTGGTCAATCAGGCCTTCGTGTACCTGGTTGCTTCCTCATGTGGAATCCAGTTTTTCGCTTCTACATAAGTCAGTATGATTTCGTATGACTCACTTCCTTTCTCAATAAGGTCGACTCATATATATATATATATATATATATATATATATATATATAATATATATATATATATATCCAATGAATAGGGGTCATTCACAGTTCGCAGTGCCTTTATGTGCTCGCATGCAGAGGACTATCGTCCTATGGGACATTTGGTCATCAGTTTACTTTAACCAATCAATATTCGTATATATCTAAGAAAAGAAAAGATGTAACATATGGCTAAACTTTTCTTTACATTATATATGTTTTCTCACAACGAAGAAAGCATGAAGAATTTCCTCTATAAGAGAAGAGGGGAGAGGAGGGTTCTGGAGCAACTAAGAAAGGGTAAATAAATAAAAACAGATTTATTATGAGTCAGTAAATAGTAATATTTCTTCTTATATTTTTGTTTGTTTGTACGATAACTTAGGTTCACTTGAGCGAACTTAAAATTATCTATTTCAACTAATATGATATCCAAAGATTGTTTACTTATGAGCATACGCACTGTTAGCCATATATATATATATATATATATATATATATATATATATATATATATATATATATATCACTTCTGCGTTGTATAGAGCCAGTACTGTATGCTAATTGGTCAGGTTTATGAACCAATGAGAAGCTAGCCATATATATTTAGAGTAGATTCATAATAAATACATTTGTAATAGACTGTATATTTTATATATAAAAGCTCCCAATAGATATGGCTAGCTTTTCATTGGTTTACATTGCTGGCCAATCAGCATTGAGTACTGCTTTAAATTAAGAAGTGCAATCATCGATTTTTTTTTGAATTTTTTCAGCACTTCCTATTTGTCATCCATTCATACAACAGATGGATAAAAATACGCTGAACATAGTTCAATGTGACCATTATTGATAATATTTGTATGTTACGTTAACTAACTGCGTTTTATTCGCTCTTCTAAGCTGATCATTTATCTGTTGATGTTGATGACACATCCTATCACTAGTTTTTTATATAAATGAACTCAAACTACGCCGGTATTACTATATTCATTAATCAATTAGACGATTACTATCCAGTTACACATATTGAAGAAATACACTTTCAGTATATCATATACAGAAATGCATTTCATTGAACAATTCTCATCGGAAAAAGTATTTACAGAATAAACCAATACAAATTTAATATTATTCCAAACTATTGTGATGGATGTTCCATCGGAAAAGGAGGAAGTAAATTTAGAAGATAGTCAATTGAGAAAAATGGGAAGTAAGTTTGTTTGTGAAATAAATTAGCATTTGACTATCTGAGATAGGAGCCATAGTTTACCAGGCTAGTATTGATACTGTGTGATGATTGAAGGTGAAGTGAAAATCTGGACCGTGACCAGACTCGGACTAGCGACTACCAGTAATATAACAGTAAAACTTGGGCACTGTGGTCGAGTGTAATTCCATTTTAGTCTGTTTATTAGAAATATCACACAGTGAAACAGTAGCATTTACTGGATAATGTTTCGGACACAGTTTATTGTCCATATTCATATCAGGTAACTCCACAACTTCGAGACAGTCTTTATATATTCCTAATTTTCTCTCTTTCTCTGTGATGACAAGGGTAGTAGAATTTTCCACATACCTGGGACAGGTGCAGAATCATTTCAATTGCATGTGTTTGGTGTTGATTCGATAAACAAAAATTCGGTTACCGATGTTTCCCTCCCTCCACCCAACTAAGTTTTCAACACTGTCACCCTATCCCACCCTACTGTGTGATTGTGTGTCATCGCATGCAGAGCTATAGCCGAGTTTTTCTCTAGATTTCTTATCTTATTACGATCTACTAGTCTTGATTAAGCTGAGTTTTTGTTCTCTGTTATTCTAATCGACCCTGGTCGACTACTTTGACCTACATACTTGACCTCTCAATCATTGCAAGGGATTTGGTGAATCAGGTTATTTTTGCTTAATTGCATCGATAGGATCTTTTAACCTACAAAGCTTGTTTCTAAGCGAGTTTGTTGGTTTGATTGCTACTTTAATCCCACATGGCCTTATTAAGAATTCTTCGTAATGTTTATGAGGTGCCTTCCTTGTATGGTAACACAGCAGAGGCTTTGAATTCTCTCTTGACCCTGTCACTATTATAACCATTAGTAGTGGGATTATTATTAATAACATCTGTATTACTACTACTATTTCTTACGAATTTATTAATAAATTCTGGTGGGTAATTAGTAAGACGTAGGGTATTCTTGATGTGTCTAATTTCCTATCGCAGATTTTCTGATCTACTAGTAAGCTTTTTCGCTCTATCACTTAAGCATTGAACTAGGCCTACTTTAACTAAAATGGGATGAGAGGACTTGAAGTCTAAATAGCGATTTGAATGTTCAGGCTTCCTATCGACACTAGTCTCTAGATTTCTTTCTTGCGTTCGTTTAGGAATTTATAAAGTCTGTCTCGAAGTTGTGGAGTTACCTGATATGAATATGGACAATAAATTATGTCCGAAACGTTATCTAGTAAATGCTACTGTCTCACTGTGTGATATTTCAAATAGACAGACTAAAATAACGACTACCAGGTTCCTAGCCCGATGCAGTCGGACCTCATAGCTCAGTTGGTAGAGCATCAGGCCAGAAACCCTGTGGTAGCTAGTTCGAATCCGGCTTTGGTCCAGATTTTCATTTCACCTTCAATCAACCCAGTATAAATAAATTACCACTGATTATGCTTACATGTATGATGAATCCAGAATAATTATGAAAGTTTATGAGTTATTATTTCATGGTTGAGGTCTGTTTCACTTCAGTTCGTAAAGCTCTTACTTCAGGGTACATAGATGAATATTTAGCCTATTAGAAAGCTTCCATTGTCATTCTGGACAACATTACCAGAAAGAAGTGAGCTTTGAGATTTTTTCTACAAGTAGCCTGTCGTAATAACCGTGGGAGTAGTTGGTTGTTTCTGTGAAATTCTTAGTATTGTCTCTATACTGGTCCTGATTGACTTTCCCGTTGACATGAACTTTGAGCTTCTGGTTATTTTTTGTATTCTTTATTAGTTGATAATATTGTTTAGAATGGCAATGAAGCTTCACGGTTAAGCTATCTAGCTCAGAGAACACAACACCATCAGAATATTCCTCTTGAGTAGCAAATATTCCCCTTCATTCAACTTGTCATATGGCTCAGCACGAAATAAGTTTTTTCCCCATAGGAGGTGAGGATACTCAATGACCTTTCCTTCGTTATATCAAAGAATAATATCTCCTGACATAGATCGACATGAGCAGTACATGTTCAAGTCACTTCATCAACTGACTTGTGTGTCTTGCCTAGTACCCTTCTCCTGACCTCAACATTGCTCACACGGTGATTCCACCAAACGGAAACAATCCTACAAAGACACCTATGATCGAAACCGTGTACTCGCTTCACATCTTCGACTTCTAAGGAACATGTCTCACAGACAGGCAACAGGTCATAATGCATTATAGCAGCCTAACTTACTCCTCCTTTGACAGACAGTTCGATATCTCGTCAGTCAGTGCCGCAGATGATGCTATCCGGCGTTGGAGCTGAAATTCTGTTGACAATCAGCCATTTCGGGTTGATGTAACGTCCAAAGTAAATGAAATGGTTGATGGATCCCACCACTTCCCTCCCTTTCATTAGTGTGGAATAAGTTACACTCCATTCCTGGGACATCGTCCTACATCCGACATGCGTGAAGCTCATGCCAGTCAGACATACTCAGATTTCTGCTCAAAGTGTCCAGAAGATCCCACATTTTGTCAGTTTATTCACCTAACTGGAAAATGTCGTCCACGTACTCCACATCAACCAGATGACCTCCAGGGTGTAGATTAATCCTTCTGAAGTCAGACGTACCTAAGGTTATGTCCATTAGTACGTCTATGATAAAGTTAAATAGAAACGGTGACAGAGAGCATCCCTGGCAGACACCATGAGTTGACTCCAATTCACATGACAACTCTCCATTAGCCCTTACACGGCTGCATGAGTTTGAGTAGGGGGGTTTGATAAACACTGTATACGTGTTGGATACGCCCTTCACACTTGAAGACATTGAAGGGTCACTGGACGGCAGCCGTTTCCATGTTGTCGTCTTCTGTGGTGACCGGATTCGGTTGGTCATTTTACAATGTGGCAATCAGGCTAGGAGGCTCAGCATTGTGGTACATCTGGATTGCCTTCAACTAACTAACATCTAAGTAAAAGACACGAATAATAAGGACCAGACTTTGTGTTCTGTTGTAAGTGGTTGCAGTGGAAGTGCGAATCGCATGCATGATCGTGACAGAGAGGAATGGAGTATACGAGATTGGGTTAGTATATTTGAGACCAATCATGTGCAAGGTCAGCGTTAAGACTAAATCATCAGTATCATGTGAACCAGACATTGTTAATCAGACAAGGTTATGACACATTCAAATTAACTAAACCCTGACGAAAAAACATAAGTTGAATTGCTACCTATTCCTTACTAGAAACTTATTTCCAGGTGGATCTTCCAAAGTTTCAGTGCAAAGTGGTAACCTGTGTTTTCAACGAAGTTGGGAGTAAACCAGGTACTCGTTGACTGCATTTAGTGATGGCTGTTCACTGAAGACAATTAATAGGGGCAGGGAAAAGTGGGTGATCAGGTTTCAACCTAGAGGCCGGATGAAAGCGCTTTGGATCCTGAGTTAGATTCTTCAAGGGGATGACAGTACTTATTGTCTAGCAGTTCTGAAAGTTGACAAAAGAGCTGTCCAGTGCGCTGTTTCTTTACGCAAGCTTCTCCTTGTTTTCTTTTCTGTTACCACACCTCTGGGATATTTTTCGACTGGATATGGATGATGAAATGTTTATAGAAATCGTGTCTACTTTACTTTTCATCCTGATGTGTGAAGTTTGAACAGGAGCAGTTTAAAGCTTAGGACTAAAATTGAATTAAAATGAAAGATATTACTTGAGAGTCGAGTCCCTTAGTCAACGATCCACACATCCACACCAGTCGAGATAGTCGACATTCAGCAGGGAAATCATTGTTTGGAACCCTGCCACACCTACTGCAGTTCGGGCAGACAGATTGTATCTTCAACCAAAACGCAATAAATGTTGTTCGCTGTATTTGAAAATACATATGAATGTAGATTTTCACCCTTTTTCGTTGCTACACAACTTACAAACATAGCCCTTAAGGGAAGAACAAAGCCATTATGAGATCAAAAGGTGTTTGACCTTGAAATTGCCTCAACTACCGTTACATAAATACTTCGTAACTTCGTTTATTCGATACCTTTCCTCTCATTTCTTTGTTCGCTATTTGAATGTCCTACTCTTGCTGATTACCCTTCTTTGCAATGTTTCGAAGTGCCTCCTATGGATATAAGAGTAGTGAAACTTGGGTTCTGTGTAATTCTATTTCAGTTGATTTATTAGACACATCCCACAGTGAAGGAACAGTATTATTGACTGGATGCATTTTTTGAACACAATTCATTATGCATAGTTATAACAAGGTAACTGCACAATTTTGAGACATGTTTTGTATAGTTCTTATTCTCGCTCCTTCTTTGTGATTTAGGCAGTAGAATTTGAAGTCTGAGCGACTGGCCAAATGGGAAGGTTTACTTGTGGACACTAGTGCCTGGACTCTACAAAGGGATATCATTAGCTTCCTCTCACCACTTCCTAATCCATAAGTATTCACCCTTTGATATCCTCTAGCGCTGGAATATTTGTACTGACGTTAATTTTTAAATTCTCTCTCTTCCTATACACTTTTGTCTATTTTGATACTAAGCTTTTTCCCCCACTTGTTCTTTGTAAACTACTACTATGAAGTGTAGCAACTTGAACTGATGTACCATTTGTGTGCAAAGTTCTACGTTAATTTTATGTTTGTCTGTCTGTCTGGTCAAGTAGATTGTATTCCCTACTGAATTGATAAGTTTAAGGAACCTGTGTATTTGCTTCTATCTAAACACTGTGAGTGCAGCATTTGCATTCTGCAATCATGTTCTTAGAGTACGACTAAATATTCTGACAGCCATCTCTTTCCAACTATCCATGAATATACATCTGACATGATGAACAGTTATTGTTGATCCTTTCGCAACACCTGTCTGAAACTTATAGAGATTTTGAAAGTCATGCATAGTTGTACTCTTAGCATGATCTCTTCTACTAGTACCTTAGTTCGAACCGTAGATTCATTTGCACTGTCAAGGTTACTTCTAACTGCAGTAGTTCAATG